ATGCCACAGGAACAGGAAACTTCCAGGCAGGGCTAGAGGGTATAAAAAGACCATCTGCCCATGTGCTCACTCTCTTTTCTTCTCCTCTGCTGCTTATCTGTCTTCTGCAATAAACTGTAACCTTCTTCCCAAAGCAGTCGCCATGTTTGCTTATTTATTCCCGGCTTGGATGAACCAGGATGAAGACTTACTTCTAACACCCAAAATACTGTTTTTATTCCAAACAATAACTATAAAACTAGAGAAAACATTATTTGAAGACATAAATTCCCTAATTTTAAAATTTATTAGGCAAGGAAAGAAAACTAGAATTAAATTGAAAATGTTACAAGAAGCTAAGGGGAACGGAGGATTTGATTTGCCAGAGTGGGCTTTTTATTATCAAGCATCAGTATTAAGATGGGTAAAATGGATAACCCACAAAAACAAAATTTTGTTGTCTTTAGAGGGACATGACTTACAACTCGGGGATTTTTTCTTATGGTGTGGGAAAAATAAAATTCATAAATATTTTCAAAACCAGTACATTAGAAATGCATTATTATTAACATGGGAAAAAATAAAATGTAAAATATATTTGAAAATTGCAAGATGGCTTTCAACAATGGAAGCATTTGAACATCCAAATTTAGTCAGTCTTGAAAAAATATAGACATATAAAGATATTCTGAACTCTGAAGGGAACTTAAAATCTTTGACAAGAGATGGAAAATCAGGGTATTGATCTATCATGGTGGACACATCTACAAATGCAAGTGAGATATGATAAAGATGTTAAACTGTATGGATTTTATAAACAGCAGATTTTGTTTGATAAGATATTATTAACTTCTGATGAGAAATTAATTAAGAAAATGTATAACTTATTAAATTTGAAAATGGAAGATGAACAAGTAAAAGAAACAATAATATAAAGTATAAAGAAGAGCAACTAAGATGATTAAAGGTCTGGAGACTAAAACATATGAAGATTGGTTACAGGATTGGAGTTTGTCTAGGCTAGAGAAAAGGACTAGGGGAACATGATAGCAGTATTCCAGTATTTGAGAGGTTGCCAAAAAGAGAAGGGGGTCAACTTATTTTCCAAAGCACCAGAGGGCACTTTAGTCTACAAGAGAGTAAACCAGCATACAATGTGGAATACACATCGAAAGGTAAGGATATGTACTAGCGCCTGCAGCTGCATGTACACTCAGCGAACAATTGGGCGTATTTCCCCAGTGTGCCTTTGTAACCGCTTCCTTTACAATTTCGGCGCTCTGCGAGGGGGAAAAAGAAAAATATATAAGCGACTCCGCTATGCAATCCTTCCTGTGCTGATATGCTCCACACAGGGTTAACTTGAAAAATCAACCATCTGTTCCATTAATTTGTGCTCTCTTTCTCTCCCACTTTTAGGAAAGTGCCCTTAAGATAGAAATCCCTTATTTATTTATTTGCAGAATCGCGCACCAAGCGCCTATCAAAGCAAGCAAGCCATCAGCCTATCCTTGTAGAGACTATCTCTAATCTTAGCGCGTGAACTGAGACGACAGCGACTGGCATCAAAGGAAGGTTTCCTATAACTCTCAAGACCGATCCGTGCAGCTGCCAGCTTCTTACCCGAATTGGTAAGCGGCCTCTGTTGCTGCATCACGTAAATAAACGGCAATGGCGCTTTTTCGCGGGTGAGAGCCGTATCGAACTTTCCCACCAGCCACCGAACTGATAATAAGAAGGTGGAGTCAGGCAGAAAGGACCGTACCACAATCAAACAACGGGATGACAGCAGTAGCAAACTAGACTATTGGAGCAGAGCGGCCGATTAAGTTGCAGGACACAGAAAGCTCGTTGCAGGATCACTGTGGCCAATAACCGGAGTAGAAAAAGAGAAGAGCGAAGTGTCTCTCCTTCGCGTTTCACATAATGGTACCAAGCAATTACTTCCCCGACATCCCTTCCAATCGGCCGAGCCTGCTGGGAAAAAGCGTGAAGGCATGCGCAGACTCTTGTTTCGAGAGAGTGCGTGAAATCCGGATTAAGGGGAAGCGACAGCAAGGAAGTTCCCATCTTGGGCAATCGGATGATGAAGCTGGGAGGCGGGGCTGCTTTTTTTCCTGCTTCGGTGAATCCGAGCGCAAAATACGTAAAGTGAGACCTGCAGCGCTTCCTTATCGGCGAGTATATGTTATAAATAGTAAGTATTTATTTACTAGATTTCGATTCTACCTTTTTATCCTGAGTTGAAGGCGTCGGGCTTAGGAGTCCTCTTATTTTTCTTTACAACAACCATCCTGTGAGGTAAACTGGGCTCAGAGAGAGTCCCGCTGTACAGCGTCGCCTCCCAGAGTAAAGCCTTCCGTTCTCCGATAAAAGAACAGAGGAAGAGTGAAAACAGACTTTGGACAGCAATTCTGTGATTGGACGGGCATAAGTCTTGCATTTGAATTGCTAGTGGGTGACAGTTTAATTGAACATACTGAGATGTTTATAAAAGAAGAGGAGACGCGTGATGAGTGTGTGTGAAGAAGAGAGTGAGGAGCGAAGAAGGGAGAGAAGCAACGTGAGAGGAAAGAAAGGCAGCGGAGACGGGGGGGGGGGGAGGAGAAGCAAACGGAGGGGGAGAAGATAAGGAAGAAGGGAGGGGGGTAATCGTTTATCAACT